GGTTTTTGAGATTTCGCCTTCCTCTGAGAAGCTAGGGTTTAGAGCTTTCCTTCTGTTTAGGGTGTTTAGGGCTTCGGAGACGTTGAAGAGGATCTTGTTTAGAACCTTCTATTTTCAGCTACATCAAGGGTTGAGGGTTTAGGGGTTTAGGGGTTTAGGGGTTTAGGGGTTTAGGGGTTCAGGGGTTTAGGGGTTTAGGGGTTTAGGGGTTTAGGGGTTTAGGGGTTTAGGGGTTTAGGGGTTTAGGGTTTAGGGGTTGAGGGAGGTGTTCTGGTCTTAGGGTTTAGGGTTTAGGGACGCCATTGGGGCTATTATTGGAGGATGCCCAGGTACGGACTGCGGACCGTGGAATAGGCTCCCGTCCTGAGTAAATCAAGAGAAAGCTGACACCCCGCATCCTTCACTTACATCCTCAACCCTCAGGGTTTGGGGTTCAGGGTTCCGGGTTGAGGATTTAGGGGTTTCCCAAAATAGGGGTACCTTATTGGGGTCCTCATAATAAGGGGATCGACTAGTAGGGGATCTATGGGGCCCCCTATTTTCGTAAACCCCCATTTAGGGTTAGGCTCTAGGATCTGCAATCTGCTGACAACTCTCACATTGCCAAAAGCAACTCCCTAAACCCCAAACCCCAAACCCCAAACCCCAAACCCCAAACCCTAAACCCTAAACCCTAAACCCTAAACCCTAAACCCTAAACCCTAAATGCAGGATCCGGAGGTCACCAAGTACTTCTGCTTCTTGGCGTGGGCTTTGGGGGCAGCAGGTAGGTCGGTTGAGGTTTGCATTAGTTTGTCGAGGAGTTTTAAGATCTCCACATCCGGCAGCTCCTTCAAGAAGAGGGCTCTTTGGCTTTAGGGTTTAGGGTATTTAGGGTTTAGGGTTTAGGGTTTAGGGTTTAGGGTTTAGGGTTTAGGGTTTAGGGTTTAGGATCTTCGCAGGTTTTCTTCAAGTTGCTCCTGCCCCAGCCCCAGGCCTGCCAAGACTAGAAGCTGAAACAAGCGCAGCCCTGAACCCAGCAACCCCAAGATTCCCCAGTTTAGGGTTTAGGGTTTAGGGTTAGGGTTTAGGGTTTAGGGTTTAGGGTTTAGGGTTTAGGGTTTAGGGTTTAGGGTTTAGGGTTTAGGGTTTAGGGTTTAGGGTTTAGGGGCCCAACAGCCGAAAGCCCGAAGTCCTCAGAGAAGGCCACTTCTTCATCCTCCTTGCTCTGGAGCTGATGTGCGAGGCTCCATGTCCTTGCACTTGAGGGCTTACAAGCACTAGGGTGTGGCAGGCTATGGGATGAACCAAGGCCCTGGACCCTGGTGTAGGGTTAGGGTTTAGGGTTTAGGGTTTAGGGTTTAGGGTTTAGGGTTTAGGGTTTAGGGTTTAGGGTTTAGGGTTTAGGGTTTAGGGTTTAGGGTGTTCTAGGCCTTAGGGCTACACCCGAAAGCCCTGAACCCTCAAAGCAGCTTCGACAGCGCTTTCATTGGGAAGATGCGTTAGGGCCAGGTATATGCTTGGGGAAGAAGCCGCGCCTCGAAGCCAAACCCCCTAAGGCAATCCCCGGGGGTATAATAGGGGCGGGGGGGGGGGGGGCACTATAATCCCTATTAAGGACTGTTAATCCAGTACGAATGAAGCCACGAGGTGCAAAACTTCCGGTCCCGTTGGCACTTCCGAACGGCGGAGGATCTGGTGCCTGAGTCGCAAGATGATTTTGTTTTTGTTGGGGGAGGGGCGGGGAGGGGTTTTTTGACTATTTGCCTAAGAACCCCAAAATAAGAAAGAATCATAATCCCCGTATCACCCTTCATAAGCAAGAACCTTGTATAGTTTTTCGTTGTTCTTAAGCAATTAGTCGTGGGTTGGGTAGAAGCTTTCAGGGCGTTCTTGGGTTGGGAACAGATTGGCTTGAAGGCTGTCGGGCCAAGGAGCCACGGGTTTCTCATGCTCATGACGCTAACGATGCAGCTGCACATTCATGGCACAAAGTCTGCTTATGGGTTTAATGTTAACCTCGTATTCTTGAACCCCCTGATATTAAAGTGCGCCAGGGGTCCCGGCCGCAATAATCAAGCCCTGGGAATAAAGTACGCCAAGTCGGGGCTGGTTTTTTTTGGGGGAGTTTGATTGAAGGGGGGCTCTAAGGAAAGGAATCCTTATTCAAAGGGGCCCTACTCTATTTGGGGGGGTTTGATTGAAGGGGGGGGGTTTATTATTACGAGGTCAACATTAGGGTTTAGGGTTTCGGGTTTAGGGAACACAAAACCCTTTAATTTTAGCGTGCATTCCAAGGGCTCTGGTTCAGAGCCATTTTCGGGCCCCTGAACCTAAAAGCCCGTCTCGAAACCTTTCAAAACCAAAGGCACTAAACCTGAAACCCTAAACCCTAAACCCTAAACCCTCAACCCTCAACCCTCAACCCTCAACCCTCAACCCTCAACCCTCAACCCTAAACCCTAAACCCTAAACCCAAACCCTAAACCCTAAACCCCTTAACCCCTTAACCCCTTAAACCCTAAGCAGGGTAGGATTTAGGGTTGAGGGCCCTTTTGGGCACCCTAAACCCCAAACCACGAAAACGAAGACCTTGAAGTGACCCATTGTCCGAGCTATATCGGAAGCTCTTTTGGGTTTAGGGTTTAGGGTTTAGGGTTTGGAGGGGTTTAGGGTTTAGGGCTCAGGGCTCAGGGCGGCCCTCAAATCTAAACCAGAAACCCCAAACCCTAAACCCTGAACCCTAAACCCTAAACCCTAAACCCTAAACCCTGAACCCTCAAACCCTCATCATCCCTTCATCCCTGCTTCTCAGCCGAGGTTCGTTTCGGCTTGTGTCTGAACGACAGGCCTGCCTTGAATCTCCACTACTTGCTTAAGAACCCCTATTCTTCCTTATAGTGGGTATTCAGGGATTAATCTTTACTATTTTGCTTAAGCACCCCTATTCTTCCTGATAGTGGGCAATAAGGGATTAATCGCTACTTTTTGCTTCAGAACCCCCTTCCCAAAAGATCAAAAAAACTCTTCCTTATAAGGGGACTACTGTTTGCTTCAGAACCCCTCCCCGCCCCTGGCTGCAAAAGATAAAAATTAATTCTTCCTAATGAGGGGAGTGACGGGGTTCTTCTCACTTTCTCTTTGGTAACCCCCACAAAAGATGAGAACATATTCTTCCTGAAAAGGGGAATACAAGGGGGGCATTCTCTTGTCTCCATGCGTCCCTGCTCCTACTATAAGCCTGAAGGTTGTATTCGGGCCATGCGCCCTGTACTTTTTGTTCCGAAACCTTGAACCCAAAACCCCATAAAGCCCACACAGGCCGAGCAATCTAAGGTTGGAACCGTGGGTCCCTTACCCCTCTTTCTGGGGATCCGAAGATTCGGCCCTTATTTTACATAGTGCATGTCAGCGTTATGAACAAGGGACCAAAGTTAAGGGCCCCATACCTGGAACCCTAGAAACAAGCTAGTTGCCCTAAACCCTAACCCTAAACCCTAAACCCTAAACCCTAGCGTACAAATCCCTCAAAGTTTGTGGAAGGCGAGTCGAGTGGCGCAAGCAGCGGGACGATCGCAGCTGGACAGCGCTGATTCTTATATCCACAGGGTTAGGGTTTAGGGTTTAGGGTTTCGGGTTTAGGGTTTAGGGTTTATAGGTTTAGGGTTTAGGGTTAAGAGTTTAGGGCTTGTAAAGTGCACAGGCCGCTGCAGTTTTGTGCTTTGGGGTTTAGGGTTTAATTAGGGTTCCAAGAAATCCAAGACTTACGGCATGCTGGTGCTTCGCCTGCGGTTTCGAGTTTAGGGTACCCTAAACCCAAAACCCTAAATCCGAAACCCTAAACCCTAAGGGAATGTTCGGGGGGTACCGCGTGGGGGCCAGGTTTGCGGACTGCGTCACCCCTTACGAAGCGGGCATTTAGGCTTCAGGATGTGGGGCTGTTCGGGTTTAGGGTTTAGGGTTTAGGGTTTAGGGCACGCTGCAGTTAATAAACATCTCCGTGTGCCGGAGGCATGTGAAAGGTGGGCGGCGATGTCAACGTGGATTTAGAGCATTTTTGCTGGGCCTAAGCCCTAGGCCTTAAACCCTAAACCCTAAACCCTAAACCCTGGGTCCTGTGTGTACGCGGTGGAGTTTGCAGAGGGCGCGACATCTCCATGAGCAGCAAGCGTGGTGGTTGCCCGACCTATCTTCCACTTCACTTACTCTGGGTTTCGGAGTACTATGCTTTAATAGGTTTTTGGTTCTGGGTTCCTATTCATTGTAACTGCTTCTACCTAGAAAGTATATACATCTGTTCTGGGGTCTTCTCCACAGTAGGGTAGTTCTTTGAAATTAGGGTCCCTTTCGGGGTCCGTCTCGTAAGGGTGCCAGACTATAGCAGTAGAAGAAGAAGTAATGGTAGTAGTAGTCGTCGTCGTCGCGGTGGTGGTGGTGGTGTCAACCGAGGCAACAACGCCCCTTTACCTGGCTGGCCTGCCCAAGGCGTTGAAGAGGTGCGAGCCCGTAGAAGCCTTAGGGGCTTGGAGCTTATTTCTGGGTTCTCCCCAAACCCTGTATTCTGAAGCCTACACGTGCACTTGACTTTTAAGATTGCTGGGCAGGCTAGCGTAAGGATGCTTTAAGATTCAGGGCTTTTGTCTTGAGAAGAAAAGGCAGATTATCCCCATATCCTGTTTTTTGTAGACTAGCAACGCCACTATCGTCATCATCATCCATAATTCAAAGGCTGGGGTGTGGGTTTGGGGTGGGGTGCCGGCCCGGTTTATGGCATTCAGGGCTCTGGACGCCGTCTTGAACGTAAAGTTCTCCTAGGGAGTGGGAATATTGCGGAACGTTTTGCTAACCCTAAACGCTGAAACCTAAAACCCTGAACCCTATCTTCTTGATCTGGATGACCAACGGACTCTTCTTGGCTGGTTTGGCCCAATCTACAAATTTGTTGTTCCCTTAAGTCAAAGCTGGTGTGAAATCTCTGCGTGAGTTTGTGGAGACGTGGAGACCGTGAGCCATATTGCAATATGCTGAATGTTTGGTCAATCTCTGGTCAACTGGTTCTTGCGCTACCTGCAGAGAAGCTGACGGACGTGTGGGGCTTGAAGCGGCGCCTAAGCTCGGTGTGTGGCGCCGGATGCTTTCAGCAGCGGCGGCTTGCTTTTCTTAGTAGAGTAGGTAACCTTTAAGGTTAGTATATTCCCCTTATACTCCCAAGGGTTAACCTTTAAAACGCTACTGGACAAGCAAGTTATGCATCAGGGGTTTAGGGTTTAGGGCTTCATTAGGCTTTTGACAGCGTGTTGGGCCTCCCCATGAAGTCTTAGGGTTTAGGGTTTTGGGCTTAATTAGGCTTTTGACGTCGTGTTGGTGTGGGGCTGTGAAGTCTGAGCTTATGCTTCGCGACTGTTGGGGAAGTAAGGTTGATGCATCAGGGACAAGACCTAGCCGATGATGCGCTGTTGGGATTTCCTGCGGATGTGCAACTGGTCAAAGTGCCCTTCGTGGAATCTTCATCGGCCCAGAACTTTGAACTGTTCCTAGGACCCAGAGTAGGCCCTGTTCGGATTTTCGGTTCACTGAAAAGCCAATTTTCGCCGCAAACCCTAAACCCTTAACCTAAACCCTAAATCCCCTTTTTCTTTCTAGGTTACTCTTTGGGCCTAGGTTCAGCCACGTCGGAAGAGGCGCCGTTGCCAAGGTTGAAGAGATACTGGGGCGCCCCCATGATCCCAACATGCGTGATTCGGACGGCCAGCAACTTTTACATTACGCAATTGCATGTGGCAACATGCACATTCTGCAGTTGGTGTTGGATGCTGGTGCTGATACTCACTCGGCTGATGCGAAGGGCCGAACATCCATCCACCACGCAGCGGAACATCAGAACCCAGAAATTACACGCCTGCTTTTGCAGGCTGGGTCTTATCGTTACCGTTTGTTACTATCTTCTTATCTTAGACAACCCTAAACCCTAAACCCTGAACCCTAAACCCTAAACCTCAATTAAGTTGTTGCATCATTCTGTCACAGCTTCTCCAGGAGGGAGTCGACAAGGACATGCTTGACAAAGCCGGCCGATCGGCGCTGCACCTGGCAGCGCTCTACGGCAACTTACACGTGGTACGTGTTTCTTGGTTTAGGGGGCTTAGGGTTTAGGACTTAGGGTTGGTTCAGGGTTCAAAGTTTATAGGGTTTATAGAGTTTGGGGTTTAGGGTTTAGGGTTCAGGGTTTTCAGGGTTTAGGGTTTAGGGTTTAGGGTTTAGGGTTTGTCGTGGTAGTTTTTTTTGGTCCAAGAACCCCTTGACGTGTTAGTTATTGTCACTGGGCTGCCAAGGTTTTGCTCGCAGCGGGGAGTGACCCCAACTTGCTGGATTACGCAGGCCAGTCACTAGGTAGGCCCTTGGGACATTTTATATTTTCCCTGGGTTTAGTCGGATCATATCCCAAACCCTAAACCCTAAACCCTAAACCCTAAACCTTTTTCTTCAGAGGGTTTTAGGGGCCATCCCAGGTCAACACTCCACTGCGCGGCTGCGGGCGGTGACAGTGAGGTCCTCCGCTTGTTGATTGAAGCGGGGGCTGACAAGGCCTTGGCAGCCCAGTGGGTGGCTTTAGGGTTTAGGGTTTAGGGTTTAGGGTTTAGGGTTAGGGTTTAGGGTTTAGGGTTTAGGGTCTAGGGTAGCCCCGTGGTACACTTTTCCCTTCTTTGGGGGTTCAAGGTTCCCTTCGAAAGTCGCCAACCCAAAAGGGGTGCCCTTATTAGTACGACGTGGTTGTGGGGCTACCAAGAAGGACTTGCTGGACCATGCTGGGCAGTCTTTGCTCCAGCTCGCTGCCTGGCGCGGCGCTGTTGAAATTGTTCGCTTGCTGCTGGAGTCTGGCGCTGATGCGAAGTTGCTGGACAGGGCTGGCAAGTCTGCGCTCCAAGGTTGCATAGAGAGCAGCTCCGTACGCAACCGGGCGTCGGCTGTGGACATCATTCGCATGCTGCTGGCTGCAGGGGCTGACAAGGACTTGCTGGACCGTGCCGGTCAGTCATTGCTCCATCTCGCTGCGCGGCATGGCAGCACAGCCCAAGTTGTTCGCTTGCTGCTGGAGGCTGGGGTTGACGTGAACTTGGCTGATGTTGAGGGAAGGTCCGCACTACATCGCGCAGCAGAAGCTGGCAACAAAGAAGTCATGGCCTTGCTCCTGGATTTTGGGGCCGAAACGGACTCCCTTGACGTTTCCGGCCAGTCACCGCTTCACTGTGCGGCCAGCAGCCCTGCGAGAGCTGCAGAAGGTGTGAGCTTGCTGTTGGAATCGCGTGCCAGCCAGGATTTGGTTGATAACCAGGGCCAATCAGCCCTCCACCTCGCTGCCTCCGTTGGCACGGAATCAAGATCTGCTCAGCTACTAGTAGAAGCTGGGTCTAACAAGGCCCTGGCAGACAAGCATGGCCAGACAGCGCTTCATCATGCTGCGCGTGGCTGCAGGGAAGGCTGTGATGGCCACCTTGACGTAGCAGCTTCGAGGGCGAGAATGCGTGCCGACGGGACGCTGAATCCAGCTGGGATGTATCGTAATTCCAGAGTCCTGGAGATGGAGCTGGCTCCTCAACACCGGCATGATGGCCGACGAGAAATTGTTCGCTGTCTTTTGCAGGCTGGCGCCGATGAGAGTGCCCTTGACAACGACGGCCGCTCAGCACTCCACTACGCAGCAAGAAACTTGGTGGCCCAGTGGGCCCAGTGGTACCCTTTTGCCCCTGTTTTTGGTTCTAGGTTGCCTTCTAAAGTATAACCAACCCTAAAACAGGGTTACCCTTATCATAACGTTCTTACTGGGCTACGAAGGACATCGCGGAGTTGAAGCTGTTCGCTTGCTGCTGGAGGCCAGGACGGACATTCGCTTGCTTGACCGAGATGGAAGATCAGTGCTTCGTCACGCTCTTGAAGGCAAGAACCAAGAAGTTGTGCAAGTGTTGGTGGAGGCAGGAGCTAATGATCATGATAATGACGAATTTGCGGGCAGACGCTTGCCTGCTTCGTGCATGTTGCCATGAGTGCATCAAGGTGGCTCGCAGTCACTGGAAAACAGGCTCGTGTTTCGGAGAGACGGGACAATCCACACGTTTCGCATGCACGCAGGGTTAGTATGGCAGAGTAGAGTCTGGAACCTAAACCCTAAACCCTAAACCCTAAACCGTAAACCCTAAACCCTAAACCCTAAACCCAGCAGCACCCCAAGATCCGATGCACAAATTTTTCGCGATGCACAGGTGCACTTCTCCTTGCCGAACCTGACGGAGGCAGGCTGACCTGGTCCATACTGGAGCTTTAGCTTTATACTATATCCCCCTCGGGATTTTTTTGAATTTTAGATATTCCTTAAGAGGATATTTCGAATATTGTTTTTTTATTAAGCTTCTAAGGGGAGTATCGCATAGGAATCTAAGAGTCGCTACATAATTAGTCCCTTACTATGGTCCCGTACCTTCTTTCAAGGGTTTTGAAGTATGGGCCCTTAGGTTTTGCAGGGTATGTAAAGCGTTGATAGACGGGATCCCCGTTTAAGGGCCCCTAAACCGTAAACCCAAAACCCTAAACCGTAAACCCTAAACCCTGTAATGGACCATGTAACTACTACTGCCCGAAGAAGGGACGGCTTCGGTCCGGAGCTTAGGGCTCGGGGGCTGAGACTGGAAGGTTTAGGGTTTAGGGCCTTTAGGGTTTAGGGTTTAGGGTTTAGGGTTTCAGGGTTTTAGGGTTTAGGGTTTCAGGGTTTAGGGTTTAGGGTTTAGGGTTTAGGGTTTAGGGTTTAGGGTTTAGGGTTGTGAGGCTAGGGTCAGGGTTCTGAGAGTTTCGGGCTTAGAGGAGGTCGCAGTCCCGTGAGTTGCAGCTGTCAGTCCACACCCCCCAGTCGTGAGGGCTTGGGGTTTCAAACGACCCCCCCCCCCCCCCCCCCCCGAAAGCATGGCGACAGTGACCTCTATATAAAAAGGTGGGCGATTGTTGTCTCGGAAGTGTCTCAAGACAACCCATATACCACCCCCAAGCCCTCTCATCGTTTCCTCTCGGCACTTGCGTCTTGCAACCTACAACCCTACGCCCCAAGCCTTACCACTGTATCTGTTGCAATGAGGCAATGAGGGGCAACAGCCTAAAGCCAGAACGTAAACTCCATGTTGCTGCAAGGTTTAGGATTTTGGGTTTGGGGTTTTGTGGCCGGGCCCGGAAGGTCCGAAGAGAAAGAAGGCTTGCCAGTTGACTCTCCTACCTGGGGTTGTTCATCAGAGTGGGGGGGGGGGGGCAGTGTCTTTAACCCCGGAGCCCTAAACCCTAAGTCCCTCGTGAAAACCCTAAATCCTAAACCTTTTTGGCACTCAACTCTTAGGAATCTACTGCCTGAACAGAAGGTCGGTTGCAGGGCGATTTGGGACTACTGAGGCTCCCAGACTAGTTTAGTAGGCTTTAAGGCTACCAATTATAGGGCGATTTCCAAAACCCTGAAAACCCTGAAGCCCGCAAACCAAAATCAAAAGCAAAGTGGCAGACAGGAGCGCTGCCAGTTCAAGGCGGGGGAGCAGGTGCTGATCTCGCGCGGAGATCCGCTGAAAAACCGTGCGCCTTGGTGCTCGGACCCAGAGTAGGCCCTGATTCCCTTTCTATGGGGCTTAGGGTTTAGGGCTTAAGGTTTCGGACCCCGAGTAGGCCCTTGTTCCTTTCTTTTAGAGTTTTGGTTCCCTGATAATTAAGCCCCTCGAAAAAGAGTGCATTTCTTCCTATGTTTTTCTGGGGTCTGGACCCTCTCCGAAGTCTTCCTGCGCCTAAAAACCGAACGCCTAAAACCCCAGACCTGCCGAGGTCCGAACCCCCAAAACCTAACCCCTCCTAGCCCAGTACTTCAGGCTCATACCAAGCCAGGAAGCGCCCTACTCTCACTTATTTTTTGGGGGGTTAGGGTCTAGGGTTTAGGGTTTAGGGTTTAGGGTCTGGGGTCTGGGGTCTGGGGTCTACTGTAGGGTTTGGGCTTGGGCGTTACAGTGCGTTAAGCAAAAACAGGGTTGCTTTGGAGCTGATCTTGGAAAGTTCTCTGGGTCCGGATCCCTCCATGGCCCTGCTAAGCCACAGACATTTTGAACATTTATAAGGCTCCCCTAAACCCTGAACTCATTACAGGGCTTAGGAATGGATGAGGGTTGAGGATTTGCATACGTATCTGTGTGTATGCGTGTGTATATAATATATAGAGTATACACTGAAAACCCAACACCTCAGCCCTAACTAACCTAAGCGATGCCAGTTAACCACAGAAGCAATTAGCATGCCTCGTCGCCGACTGTATACCCTAAACCTTTTTTAATAGTCCCCAGAATTTAAGGCTCATTTAAGGCTTAGGATTTAGGATTTACGGGGGAACGTCCAAGGTGTGCGAAGCCAGCGTGCGGGAAGTCGATTTCCAAGGCCGCTGGCGGCTGAGGGTCGAATGTTTAGTTCACGTTCCAGGATGGGCTATGAGACCCTATTAACCCCTTAAACAGGCCCTTTATAGGGTTGATTGTGGGGATTATAAGGCCGAATAGCCCATCCTGGTTGTTTGAGACACCCTTTTTGGTTCAATTTTTTGGGTTCTCCGCCAAAGTGGTCTTACTTAAGACAGCTGTTTTTTTGGTTCAAAAGAGCTGAAGGATTGCGGAATGTCTGTTTCAGCGTTTTGACTTTAAGGTTCAGGGATCTGGGCTCAGGGCCTGGGGGATTAAAAGCGAATATAAGGGTATTCCCCTAAACCCTGACCCAAACCAGGGTTTAAGCGTTTCCAAGTTTGGGGTTTAGGGCTTAGGGTTTGGGAGCTTCGAACAGATCAAGAGCATCCAAAGCCATGCTGCCTCAGGGAGGGTGCTGCTGGAGAGCCGAACACCCCCTTGATTCACGACCTTAAACTATACTTTATATGGGGCTATATCGGGATCAATCAATTTTATTCCCCCACGGTCCCCCTATCCTAATTATTAATGCCCCTACATTTTAGTCCCTAAAGCCTAAACCCTAAACCCTTAACCCTGAACCCTAAACCCTAAACCCTAAACCCTAAACCCTAAACCCTAATTCCTAAACCCAAACCCAAAAGCCCAAACCCCAAACTCCAAACCCTAAACCCTAAACCCTACCACACCCTAAACCCTACCACACCTATACTAAAACCCGGAGAGTAGCCTACAGCCTGCAAAAGGCCTTCGAAACCTAACCGTATATCCTAGGATGTATAAGGTCTATCCCTAAACCCTAAACCCTAAACCCTAAACCCTAAACCTTATACCCCTGAGACCCTAAACCACCAGGCCGTGTGATGATCGTGTCGGTGAACGGGAAGATGCCCGAGGATCCCTGGCACGCCCGCAGATACCGCATTGACAAGCCCCTTGCTGCAATAGAGAGGATTTAGGGTTTGGGGTCTCCGGGTTTAGGGTTGCTAGGAATTATTGTCTATAGGTCCCTTGCTGCAACAGAGTGGAGCTCCAGGTTGTAGGCAGGGTTTAGGGTTTGGGGTTTGGGGTTTAGGGTTTAGGGCTAGGGTTTAGGGTTTAGGGTTGATGGGATTTTAGGATGTTGGTAGGCACCTGCGATATCTTATGCTTTCTCTTGTTGGGTTTTAGAGGATCATATTGAGGACTTTTTCAGAGGGTTTAATAAGGGTCAACCAAGGGACACGCTCCCTTTTCCCCCTGAACACCAGAAAAGCGAAACCGCATCACCTTGTCTACTCCCACCGCCCTGAACCCTTTACTTTGCAAGGGACCCGACCTGAGTAAACTCCTACTCGAGTCATATCCTACAAGCTCGCGGTCGTTTTGCAATAGGCTTGTAAGTTCCATTAGACGTACCCCATTTGCTTAGGAAAGTTTAGGGTGTATGATTTGGGGTTTAGGGTTTATAGCGTTTGCGGTTTGCTTTCCTGCCCTCCCCCTCCCCCCCCTGGCCCCCTGTCCAAAAAACAAAAACAAATCACAACACGCACGCACGCTCGCACGCACGCACGTACACACGCACGCACACACGCACGCACGGACCTATGCACCCACACACACACACACACACATGCAATAAAGCTCGCCTACCCTAAACGTACTAAACCCTGAACCCTGAACCCTGAACCTTAAACTCTAAACCCTCAACCGATGCTAGTAGAAGGAAGCCATCCGCTGCACATTCAAACCCTTGACCTTCATCTTAATACAACTTGAACTCCCCATCCCTCAACCCTGCGCCTCACAATGCCTTTTGCCTAAGCCTCCCTTAGCCCTTGAAAAACCTTAAGCCCTTGTCAAAACCCTGAACACTACACCCTTATCATCCCTAAGCGCTAGAGACCTGATGAGGATCCCTGATCCCCAACAAGCCCTAAACCCGTTCTGGCCTTCGGGGTTCGACTGTCCTTCTTGTGTTTAGGCTTTAGGATTTAGGGTTAGGGCTTAGGGTTTAAGGGTCACAAGGTACGCCAACCGCACGACCTACGAACGGCAAGTGAACGCCCTGATGCAGCCGCTTTCTCAATTCTTTGCTGGGCTTTTGTTCAGATGAGGCTTGACACCTTAGACCCCCCGAAGCCTCTCAACCCTAAACCGCCTAAACCCTACAAACCCTACAAAGCCTGTGAAAGCCTATTATAAAGCCTATAATGAAGCTTAAAGCCCAAAGCATGCAAGATGAAATGTGTGAAATTCCCTAGGGCTTTCTTGCACGAAGTAGGAAGGCCCCCAAGCTACCATGCACTAACAACTCCCGGGGTGCGAGCACTGGGCTTTTGAGTTTAGGGTTTGGAGGGTTTAGGGTTTAGGCTAAGGGTTTAGGGTTTAGGGTTTAGGGTTTAGGGTTTAGGGTTTAGGGTTTAGGGTTTAGGGTTTAGGGTTTAGGGTTTAGGGTACCCACCCCACCCTCAAGACAGCTTTCGAGCTTAGGGATGTCGTAAGAAGCCAAAACCTACCTCTTTTGCAATTGCAGGCTGCCTAAGAATCCTGTCAGGGGTTGTATTAGAATCTGAACATACCAACATGCAGGCTCTAGGTTCTTAAGGTTCGGGGTTTAGGTGGTGATTTCCGGAAGTTTTGCGCGGTTGAAGGGCTGTAAGGGTGTTTGGGCTCCTAGAAGGGTTTATGGCCGACCTGCAGCTTAGGTTCATCATGATGGATCGAACGAAAGTGTGTGAGATGCTGGTGGCCGCGGGGGTCGGGAAGCAGCTGATCTGCAGATTGTTCTGAATTTGGTGGGGGGGGGGGGGGGGGGGGGGGGGGGGGGGGATTCTTCTAATTCTTAGTATAATTTAATCCCATGTAATTCTTATTATAATTTAATCCCATGTCCCCGAAACTGAGCCCTACTCGCACGTCCAAGAGCGAAGGTCAAGTGAAGGCTTTTGCTGGCGTCCAACGTAGCCAGGCTCATAGCTTCTTTCCATCCTAAACCCTAAACCCTAAACTTTGGGTTTAGGGTTTAAGGTTTAGGTTTAAACTCACTTTGTAGGCTTGGTAGCCCAGTACCCCAAAAAAGGGTGCCCTTATCATACGATGGTTACTGGCGGGCTACCTTGGCCTATCATCAAACCAGAGTCCCTCTTTGCAAAGGCATGACGAGAGGCATGAGGTGTTTCGGGTTTGATGGTCTAAAGGATTTATAGGGGTTACTCTTGTTACTCTTGAGTCTAGGTTGGGTATTTACTAAACCCTAAACCCTAAATCCTAGACCCTAAACCCTAAACCCTAAAACCCGTTTGGTCGTGAGTCTTACAGGCATGGAGGGCTTCCGTCAACTTAACGTGGCCGCAGCCCCGAAGCAGAGACCCTTCCCAAATCTGGACCTCCCAGGGTCTTACAAGGCCCTAAACCCTAAACCCTAAACCCTAAACCCTAAACCCTAAACCGGGTGTTTTGGGTTTAGGGTTCAGGGTGCACTTCTCCGCAGAGGCTGGACCAGGCGGTCATCGAGGAGGCGGCCATCATGAAACGCAGAGCCGAGCGAAAGGGCATGGGGAAAGGCCACTTGGGGTTTAGGGTTTGGGATTTAGGGCTTAGGGTTTAGGGTTTAGCGTTTAGGGTTTAGGGTCTAAGGTTTAGGGTTTAGGGTTACCCCCAAGGTTGTACCTCTAAAGACTCCCCTGAATATACTCCGAATATGGCCCTGAACCACCTTAAGGAACTTTAGCAAGAAGGGTCCCCGCCCAGAAGGTACAACCCCTAGATATACACCGCTATCAATCCCATTTTCGCCCTGATAAACCCCTGTAAAGCTCTATATAAGCCCTTGTAAACTGCTTTACACCCAGCCCTTATAAACCCCCTATAAACCATCAACGCGGAACCCAGGTGGGTTCAAGGTTTACGGTTTCCTGTATGGGGTTTAGGGTTTAGGGGTTTTTGAAGCCTAATCTTAATTCTCAACCTCAACCCTAAGCCTTACACGTAACCCTAAACCCGAACAAGCTAACCTCAAGCCGTTGCCATCAAGTCCCCGGGGTGCCCCCCGAATTGTAGGAGCACGTTTTATGTTTCTCTTGCTTCGGGTTTCAGGGTTCTACTGCTTTCGGGCTTACAGCCTATGTAACTTCAGGGATTTTGTGGTGAGGATTGGGTGCTTTCTCCCTGAGCCTCAAACCACGAGACGCACTGGGGCTCTACGGCTTTTGGTTCTGGCTCGAGATCCAATTGCGGCTTAGTGGAGTCCAACCCTAAACCCTAAACCCTAAACCCTAAAACCCTAAACCCGCGCACTCAGGCTACAAAGGAAAGCGTCAGGAAGAGCTGGCCAAGCAAGACCAGGACGTCGGTGTTTTTTAGGGTCTGGCCTTCGAGATGAAAGTGTAGGGGTGTTTTGGAGTTGCTGCCATTTTGGTGACATACTCATGCGCTAAAGACCCAAGCCCTAAACCTTAAACCCTGAACCCTTAACCTGGCCCTAAACCCTAAGCCCTAAACCCTAAACCCTAAACCCTAAAGCAACCTTAAACCCGAAGCCCTGAAAACCCCTGGCCAGAGAGGATGCTCTTGGATGCTCTGGCAGTCCATGGTTAGAAGCCTTCACCAAATTGGGCGCCCCAAGCCCTACAACCCTTGAAACCCTAAACCCCCAAACCCTGAAACCTCCAAACCCTAAGCCCCCAAACCCTAAACCAAACCCTAAACCCTAAACCCTAAACTCTTGTCTTCATCAGGACACCAAGGACAAGACTCGTTCCAGTGCCCTTGCAAATTGGGACGCGGAGGACTGGAGAGACTTAAGCTTGCTGCTGTTTAGTGTTTAGGGTTTAGGGTTTAGTGTCTAAGTCTAGGGTTTAGGGTTTAGGGTTTAGTGTTTAGGGTCTAGGAGTCTAGGGTCTAGGGTCTAGGGTTTTAGGGAATGAGGTACCCTATACAATCCCTTACCGGGCATACAGGGCCCAAAAATCCCTCATCCCCTGCTAAGCAGCAGCAACTAAAGGGGCCCGAAGTCCGAAGCCTCATCCCGAATCGCATCCTTTGGGGTTGGGGGTTTAGGGTTTAGGGTTTAGGGTTTAGGGTTTAGGGATGTTGAGGGTTTAGGGTTCCGAGACTGACATGTCTGCTTGGCCTTGAGGGGTTTGTGGCTTTGAGCTGTTTTGTAGGATTTATGGATTTCTTTGACTCTTAGACTTTGGCGCTGTTTAGGGTTTTGGGGGTTAGGGTTTAGGGTTATAGGGTTTAGGGTTTAGGGTTTTAGGGTTTTAGGGTTTTAGGGTTTCAGGGTTTTAGGGTTGTAGGGTTTTAGGGTTTTCGGGTTTTAGGGTTTTAGGGTTTTACTGTTTTAGGGTTATAGGGTTTTAGGGTGTTAGGGTTATAGGGTTTTAGGGTGTTAGGGTTTTAGGGTTTTAGGGTTTAGGGTTTTAATAGGGTTTTAGGGTTTTAGGGTTTTAGGGTTTTAGGGTTCTAGGGTTTTAGGGTTTTAGGGTTTTAGAGTTGTAGGGTTGTAGGGTTGTAGGGTTTTAGGGTTTTAGGGTTTTAGGGTTTTAGGGTTTTAGGGTCCCAGATTCGGGCTTGGTGGTGGCGGTTCTTGGCCTTTCAGGCCTTAGTGACGGGAACAAGGGCTTGCTCCTAGCAATCTTGCCTTGGGATGTGCCCCGGAGACTAAAGTAGGGTTTAGGGTTTAGGGTTGAGGATTGAGGGTTTAGGGTTTCGGGTTTAGGCATGCTACTACAAGCGGGAACCTCCCAAATCATGCCCTCCGGACCCAACTGATGTCGGTTCCGAAACCCTAAACCCACCCGCTTGTCTTATGGGGTAGGCGGGCGCTGGTCGAGCGCTCTGCGAGACCCCTAAACTCTAAATGGCGACATGACCTTCATGAGGACTTCTTTGCAGACGACCCGCAAGAAGAAGCGGAGGCACCGGAGCAGCGTTTAGGGTTTAGGGCTTAGGGTTTAGGATGAGCCCTAAGTTTGGACTCTATAAACCCTGTAAACCCTAAGCCCTGCAAACCCTGAGTGTAGACCCTATGAACACTATGCACATATATATATATACATATACATATAGTATAACATATACATACATGCGCCGAATATGTTCGTATTGTTACCTGAAGTATATACCGCTGCCACTCAGCCCTGCAATGTGACGTGCACCCTTTTGGGGGGCTTAGGATTCATGTCCAGCTTTAAGGTTGCTCATTCCTGCAGTAGGGTTTAGGGTTTAGGGTTTAGGGTTTAGGGCTTAGGGCTTATGGTTTAGGGTTTAGGGCAAAACGGGCTCGCAAGAAGTAGCGCAGGCTACACAAAGTGGGGGGGGGGGGGGACCTCTACTTGTCAGAGGTTTTTGGCAAGTTTTTGGGTGCAGGGCAGAGGGTGGCAGATTCTTTGGCCCCGCAATCCGGCAGCAACTGGCTAGACTCGCTCCCAGCAAAACTCAAGAGGGACGCTGAACCGCTGGAAAGTCACGGTGGTTGAAGGATAAGGGGTTTTCCAGGCTTCAGGGCTCAAGCTAGGGCGGACAACTTTATATTAGGATCCCTTTCCTACAAGGGACCCTGACTTAGCACAACGCCCATATGCCTTTGCTATTCCTTGGCCCAGTGCTACCCTTTACAATTTTTTTGGCTATGGGATCCCTAAGGTAACCCCCCCCCCCCCCCCCCCCCAACAAAAAAAACAAAGGGTTTTCTAGCGGTCGGAATACTACAAGACCCCCCCCCCCAATAAAAAAAAAAACTATTCTGATTCTTCACGACCCTATATTGCCTCTTATAGTAATATGGTTGCTGGGCCACGAAGTCCCTAAAACCTAAACCCTAAACCCTAAACCCTAAACCCTAAACCCTAAACCGTCTGTAAATTGCGGTTTTGGGAGAGCTCCGAGGGATTACGCAGGCGCTTGCCGAGGAGGCCGCGCTCGCAGCGGAGGCCGCGTTGGAGCTGGAGCCGGAAGAAGACCCCGAGGAGAAGGCAATCACAGGGTTTGGGGTTTGGGGTTTAGGGTTTAGGGGTTTAGGGGTTTAGGGGTTTAGGGGTTTAGGGGTTTAGGGTTTAGGGTTTGGGGTTTGGGGTTTGGGGTTTTGGGTTTAGGGTTTAGGGGTTTAGGGTTTTGAATCCGTCTGCCAAGTCTTAAACTTTCGGAATCCTAAGCCACGAGCTCTCTATCCCGTCGTAGACGCCGGGCGTAGAAGCTGTAAGAGCAACAGGCAAGGGCCCTCTTGCCACGGCGAGTTCTGACTGCGCCTTTTGCCAGTCGAACCCTAAACCCTCAACCCTTAAAACCCTAAATCTTGGTCTTCCCTAGGCCAGCCCTAATCCCAAGTTTGGCTGCCCTAAACGCTGCACCCTCAACACTAATCCCAAACCCAAAGGATCCATGTACCTGTATAGTATATACTTGGGCCCTAAAGCTACTATATAGGAATCCCTTTAAGGCCCAAGTATATACTATATAGGTACATGGATCCTTTGGGAAACCTAAGGAACCATAAATCTCGAGAATAGTCTGCACAAACCCTGAGCTCTACGAGTCCCAACAGGCCCCTAAACCCTAAGCCTTGTCACTACACCCTAAACCCTTTTGAGCCCTAAACCCTAAACCCTCAACCCTCAACCCTAAACCCTAAACCCTAAACCCTATCAAACTCCACTAGGCACGATTAAACCCTATCAACCCCATGGACACTTCAATCCCGAGCCCCTCTCGGCAGCAAGCATGCGTGGCAGGAGCGCAGGGAGAAGACCGTGGCCCTGGCAAACGAGGACTTTCCACTCCGACGTGGTTTAAGGTTCAGGCTGCAGATTCATGCCCAAAAAAACATGGGACCTGCGTGTTAAGGCCGGGAGCAGTCTCGGTCTGAGTAAATCTGGGTCGTGCACCAAACCCGGAAACCTGGACTGCCTAGTGCCGCAAGTCCGATGGATTTTGCAACACTGAACCCATAACCCTTTCGGCTTAAGCTCTCTCATGTCGAATTCGGGCTGAGAGGCTGGGTTCTAGATCCCACCAGCTACAATGCAGATGATTAGCGCAATGATCGTTGCCCCGGTGATGTCCCTCCTTTTTGCTTCACTAGCAGTTGAAGCCGAACAGGCATCACCAGTCGCGCAGCTCGCGGCTGAAGGGGCTCAGGCGTCCTCCGATGTCCATCTGAACACAGTGGCTGGGGCGCTCACGGATTTGCTGAAGAGTGGCGACCAAGGAGCCGGCACTTTGTCGGCCATAGCCCAGGCGTCGAATACATCAGCAATCGTGGAGACCATCAAAGAGTTGCTGAACGGCACCATGAAACTTAGCAGTAGAGTAGGCAACCTTTTACCTTTTCGGGGTATTCTCATCCCTATGACATCCCACAGGTTCACCTTGAATTCCCCCAGGTTACTGGACACCTAAGGAAAGGACGTCTGTACACGGCGCACAAGAACAGCTTGGCGGCCATTGCGGACTCGAAGAAGCTGTTCGCCGACTGCCGCAGCGCGTATGAGGCTGCTGATCATGTCCGTTTTCCTCCAGCCTCTCTTTTGCAGACGGTGAACGCGACGCCATGGTACGAAGAGTTCTTCCAAGCCTATAGCCAGTGCAAGCTTTGGGAGGCACAGATTGGAAAGGATATGACTGCTTGTGACTACCACTGCACCTCAGAGGTCAAGGTTGTCGGGGAGGACTCTTAGTAGCTGAGTGAGCACACTTTGCACTTTTTGGGATACTATAATCCCCTATAGAACTGACAGTGTACACTTGTTTTGGGGGCTTACGAACTTAGCAACTAAGGACTGCACCTTCTTAGGTGATCAGTGTGGCCCTCTCGACTGTGCACCGGTCACCGGTGAAGGCTACAAGTCCTTCCTTGATCCTTGGAGCCCAGTGGTACCCTTTACTTTTTTTTTTTTTGGGGGGGGGGGGGGGGGGGGGGGTTATGGGTTCCCTTATAAGAATAGCCAACCCCCAAAAAGGGTGCCCTTATTATAATATGGTTCCTGGGCTACCAAGGAACGAATGATTAAGGACATCAAGTCCCACTTGGACTTCCTGGTCTGGGAGCGCTACAACGCAACCCATGGATGCAACGACATCTGGGGCACGGCCGACCCCTTTGTCATAGTTGGGTAACATTTTTTTACATGTTTAAGGGTACCCTACACCCAATAATGAATATAGATTTAGATAAGGGTACTTCAACCCAATAAGGAATATAGATTTAGATAAGGGTACTTAAACCCAATAAGGATTATGCATCTAAATTTTTATAATACGATCCCAAACCATGAAAACTAGGAGCGTTGCTTCAAGAACTGCGACGGCCACGTCATGGAGATCCAGGATCTCGTGCCGCACAAGTCCCTGGGGCCATTGTTTGAAAAACACGCGTTGTTCATTTGTTCGTGAATATCTAAAATTGAAACCCAAGAAGGAACAACAAAGGTCTTTTAAAGGTCTTTTTTTTATAAATAGAACCCACTAATTAAGGAACAAACGTGGCCATTTTTAAAATAGTACCCCCCCCCAACAATGGCGAAGGTCCACCGACATCCCAGGCTGCTGCGCTCCACGCACGCAGGCCGAGGATGCCAAATGCCAGGAGCTGAAGTCCCAGCGCGTGGCCTGGCAGACCTACGACCAGTGTCTCGGCAGGTTTTGGGACTTTGTGCTTTTTTTTTGCCTTATTGGGTTTAAGAGGATCATGTCCCCAAACCCTATGTAAACCCTAAACCCTAAACCCTAAACATCCCTAAAGCCTAAGAGGGTTTACATCGGGCCATCCTAGGTGCTATGATGCGGCGTTGCCGCAGTGGGAGACCACCAAGGGGGAGCAGGTGGCAGAGGCCGAGTCTCGCAAGGCACAGATGCGATCCATCATGAGGATGCTGTGCTACGTGAGCTCCTTTGGTCCCTCGTCTTGGTTTCCCAGTGGTACCCTTTACCCTTTTTGTTGGTTCTGGGTTCCCTTATAACTAACCCAAAAAGGGTGCCCTTATTACAATATGGTCACTGGGCTACCAAGTCGTAGCTGAGTGAGTACACTTTACCTTGGAAACCCAGGGGTACCCTGTACCCCTTTTTTTTTGTTCTGGGTTCACTGAAAATAGCCACAATAGCTCAAAAAGGGCGCCCGTATTACAATATGGTTACTGGGCTACCAAGTGACACTTTATGGGATTCCAGAATCCCCTACAGAACTGAAAGTGTACACCTTTTTTTGGGGGGACTAATACTTTATGGGATACCATAATCCCCTGTAGAACCGAAAGTGTACACCTTTTTTTGGGGGGGGGGGGCTTAATGAACTCAGCAACTTAAGGTCCGAACCAGGCCACGCTGCTGACGCAGTGCATGGAGAAGGACTTCACGAAGGAGACGGATGTGATGGCCATGAGCCTTGAGCTCGGCATGCCGGAGACGAAGCTTAGTAGGAGTGAGCACACTTTACACTTTTTGGGATTAGGGTTTAGGGTTTAGGGTTTAGGGTTTAGGGATACTCGAATCCCCTATAGAACTGCTGGAAGTGTACACGTTGAATTTTTTTTTTGGGGGGGGGGGGGGGGCTTATGAGCTCAGCAACTAACTAAGGAAGCTTGATGCCTTCAGCTGCAACTCCAGTGAGACCCCTGGGACCGCCGACTTCGACGCGGCTCACTACGGCAACTTTGTCATAGTTGTGTAGCATGTTACATTTTTAAGGGTACCCTAAACCCTAAACCCTAAACCCTAAACCCTAAACCCATGAACTAGGCAACCTCCCGACCGGGCTGGCAGCCTGCCCGGTGCTGCACTGCGAGGAAGCTTCTTGGTGGCCTTTAGTGGTGCCCTTTTTGCTCCGTTTTTTGGGTTTTAGGGTTTAGGGTTTTAGTTTAGGGTTTAGGGTTTAGGGTTTAGGGTTTAGGGTTTAGGGTTTAGGGTTTAGGGTTTAGGGTTTAGGGTTTAGGGTTTAGGGTTCCCTCATAAGGTAGCCAACGGTACAATTCCCTTATTAGAACATGGTTCCTGGGCTACCAAGGCGTGCAACGGCGAGGTCAATGTCTCTTCCATGCGCATCCTCGATGCGACTACGGAACCTCCTCTGCCGGAGATGACCACGGCTTCGACCAAGTGCTTCTTGGGCTCAGGGTTTAGGGTTTAGGGTTTAGGGTGCCCTTTTGCCCTGTTTTGGGGGTTCCAGGTTCCCTTGGAAAAAAAAAGCCCCTCGATCCGAAAAAAGGGAGGCCGAAAAAGGGATACCCAAAGCAGCAAGGGATTCCCTGATGATCATGTGCTTTCCTGGGCTACCCTGTTTGGGGGTTCTAGGAACCCTAAACCCTAAACCCCAAACCCTAAACCCTAAACCCTAAACCCTAAACCCTAAACCCTAAACCCTAAACCCGAAACCCTAAGACCAAGGCTTCAAGAAGGCAGCTAGCGCCGATGCAGTCTACTGGGACCTCGGCTCCGAGCAAGCGGTTGGCGCTGTGTCTGCCGACCCTGCAGATGCCGGGTTGTGCTATAGGATCACTTTTATTTATTTTTTTTTAAATCTTTTTATATGTTTATTTTATTAATGTCCCTTCTTCCCTTAATAGGGAACCTATTCATTCTTTTCTTAGGAAACAAAGAAAGGGATGACTTTTCAATGTTTTTTTCTTTCCTTATAAGGGAACCTACTCATAGATAGTTTTCGAAGTGCTTAAAGCACAACTCAGGACGATATTTCCAGCATCAAGGTGTATCTCACCAACTCGGAACATGGCGCCTTGGTAGCCTAAGTGGTATCCTTTGCCCCCTTGTTTCCGTAGGGGAAGCAGCTCACCCCAAAAACCCTAAACCCTAAACCCTAAACCCTAAACCCTAAACCCTAAACCCTAAACCCTAAACCCACCGAGGCACCGTCCTTCCGACCACAGAGCTTTGTGGAACTATCACAGAGAAGTCGAAGACCGTGGACTGTGGAGCCCGATCCGGGTCTCGGTACCTGGTGATGCAGCCCTTCATCACCGGCAGCTGCGTCTTCGGCGGCTGCACTCCTAGTTGGTGCCTCATGACGGTGGATGGCAGCAACATGACGCAAGAGCCCATGTCCGCGACGGGCTCCTCCTTCGTGGGTCAGGTTGTGGTCAACGCCACGGTCTGATAAGTTCATGGGTGCTTCCGTAGTGGCGACCGTGCGTGCTGGCGGGTAGCCAAAACATGTCTTGTTAGTTTTGATTAGGGAATGAGAAGGTGGTACCATGTGTGGCTCCCTACTCTTTAAGGGACGACGTAGGGTACCGAACTCCCAGACTTACCTGCCAAGAGCCCGAAAGAAGCACAAGCAAGCTGCCCGTAGTACCAGGGACCGAAGAGTTAGGCTTCTCTGGGCCCTTAGGGGCATGTTATATAGTGAGTAGGTCATCTTTAACCTTTTTTGGGGTATACAGTGGGGGTATATATATATAATCCTACCACAACTTAAAGGTTATCCTTCTTTAGCCCAGGGTGCTCGGAAAATCGGGTGAGATCCCTGGAAGCCCAAAAGTTGGAACATTTTAATTATCCTCATACCCCAAGAGGGTTACTAAAGGGAATCCCAGCACTACGCGTCCTTGAACCATGGTCCAACTTTCTGGAGTTTACTGTAGGCCTGGGTCTTACTAACCAATTATGATTGTACTTATACCCACTTATAAGCCCCTCAAGAGCCCTAATATGGTTATAAGTACGGTTATAAGTACAGTTTCAAGTGGTTAGTAACTACCATGAACCTCCAAGTAGGTCCCTCCAAGCTTCGGCCTGATAGGTACATAGGGAAGCTTAGGGAGCCTTAGGGAGTAGGGAACCTTGAGGTTTAGGGTTTAGGGTTTAGGGTTTAGGGTTTCGGGTTTAGGGTTTAGGGTTTAGGGTTTAGATTATGTACCCCCCTGGAAGTTAGTAGATACCATTTCCATTTTCTAACCATGCCCACCCCCCTAGGCCACCCAAAGACCCAAAACCATAACAGCCTATACCTCAACCCACCGAAAGACCCATAGCTAGAACCCTAGGAATAACTCACCTGAAGACCCAAAACCATAACAACCTATACCTCAACCACCTCAATAAAAAAAAAAAAAACCATACAACATTCCTATCCTGGAACCACCAGAAGACCCACACCAAGAACCCCCCATAGAAAAACCCATATCCCCCAACGCGAAATCCCTAACCCTAGAAAATGGAAATGGTCTTCTCAAATAAAATATCTATACTAGGAATAAGGTTTAGGTTTAACGTCGAACTGGCTAGAACGATACTTGAAGCATGGCATGAGCTACTTGTCCAAACTCCGTTTTAAGCTTCAACTGCACCCTCACTGGAGCATGTCTTCCTGCATGCATCTCTCAATGGCCATGAAAGCTGGCCTGGCATTTGCCTTGTTCTACTGGGCACAGAGGGCGCCATTCCAGTTTTTCTTGCGGTCCGCCCTGGCTCCTGGTGCGTTCCCATACAGGGTCAGTCACATTTCGCGGGGCCAAAGCAAAACGAGCAGACGGACTCGGACTTGCGCATTCTCACCACGTTCCAGAGATGTTCGAGTTTCCAACAGTTGTGTAAGGAGGAAGAGTGTATTCAGCGGACATGCGCAACACGATTTGCCACCAGTTTCAGCAGTCTCCCTGGGCAATTATCGTTCTTATGCAGTGCGGGCAGATGGTCAGCTCGTCTGCTTTGGATCTGCTGATAACGTCCCAGCAGATTTGGGACCACTTTTGGCGATCTCATCGGGCAGTTATCATGCTTGTGCAGTGCGGTCAGATGGTCAGCCCGTCTGCTTTGGAGTCAATGACTATGGACAGTGTGATGTCCCGGCAGATTTGGGACCAGTTTTGGCGATCTCATCGGGCGCAGCTCATACTTGTGCAGTGCGGTCAGATGGTCAGCTCGTCTGCTTTGGATTCAATGACTATGGACAGTGTGATGTCCCGGCAGATTTGGGACCAGTTTTGGCGATCTCATCGGGCGCAGCTCATACTTGTGCAGTGCGGTCAGATGGTCAGCTCGTCTGCTTTGGATTCAATGAGTATGGACAGTGTGATGTCCCGGCAGATTTGGGACCACCTTTGGCGGTCTCATCGGGCAGTTATCATACCTGCGCAGTGCGGCCAGACGGTCAGCTCGTCTGCTTTGGAGGCAATCATCAAGGGCAGTGTAACGTCCCGGCAGATTTGGGACCGGTTTTGGCGATCTCAACGAGAGCTGATCATACTTGCGCAATCCGAGCAGATGGTCGGCTCGTCTGCTTTGGACTCAATGCTTATGGGCAGTGTGACGTCCCGGCAGATTTGGCACCAGTCAGCTTGTCTGCTTGGAAACAACTTTAATGTCAAAAACGAAGCCGTGCTTGCCCTGCCCTCAAACATTCAGCAACTCAAACCGCAAATACTGCCTATTATTGCCCTCAACTGTGCAATGATTTTGACCTAATTTGTTTTCAATGCTTTCTATGGTATAAATATTTTGGCTGTAATTTCCCACCCTTTCTTTTTCATTTGGTTTTCGCTTCCTAAATATCTTAACTTCATCTCCTACATCTAAATCGGGATATACGCGGTTCTTCTTTCCTTTCATTGTTAAATTTAATTTCACTTTGAATTGGTTACTGGGCTTTCGGGCTTCTTTCGGCGTAAATCCCGTTGCTGAGTGCTTCATTTGATTATTATAGGTTAATGATATTTCTAACATGTAATCTGGCCATTGGATGTTTTGTTTTCCTTTTTTCTCATCTGTTTCAACTCTACGATATAATAAATCTTTAAAAGTGCGGATGGCTTTTTCACTAAAATTTGGGTGCGCCCTCGTTCTATGATGTTCTATGTTTTCATCTTTCAAATACTTTTGTATTGCTTCCTTGTTCATTGCTCCCTCGTCGTCTGTATAAATTATCTCGGGTTTTTTTCCCATCTTGTCAACAGAGTGTGGTAATGGTTAATTAGTTTGGAAGTGTTGCCCCGCACTTCATTTTCTTTTGACAGCGAAGCAGAAACACCCCTAAATATTCTAGTAATTAATGAATTCAATTATTAGAATGTTTGTTTTATCAGTCTAACCACGCCTAAAGACTAGACTTTTTAATATAGTAAGATGGAAAAACGAGTGTGTAAATCGTGTTGCGCGACAAAAGATATTGAAGAGTTTGATGGTTTTAAGACTTGTAGTAAGTGCCGTGAAGCGAAAAGAAAATGTTACGGTAAAAACAAAAACGAGTATAACCAAGCGAGAAGAGAAGAGAGGGCAAAAGGGAGCCAACTATGCGAAGAATGCGGGCACAAAATCAAACACGAAAACTGGGATGCCCATTTCCATTATGCCCTACATCCGAACTCGGAACTAAATGTGTTGATGACAGATTATTTGAGGAAATTAGGAAATTTACGGAAAGAAGGCAAACTAAACAACAAATTACAAGCAGAGATGAAGGCAGAATACGAAAAGCAAAAAAAGGAAATACGCAAACGATTAAACGAGCAATTCCCTAATAAATTTGTTGGTGAAGAGGAAACACCAGAACCACAGCCCGAACCCGAGAAACCTAAACCCGATATAGATAAAGTGTTTAATCACGTCCATCAATTGCTAATGAATGATGAGTTTCTAAAAGACTATTTTATGCCATTCGGTAAGCATAAGGACAGAGTTATTATTGAAATTCCTGTTGGTAAACCATAAGTATAATGTAGTTATAATCCTTAGGTTGTTATAGATTATAACTATATTATGGTTATTTACTATCAGGTGCGTCGCGCGCTCAGTGGCTACCTTATTCCTAAACATTATACCTATTATTGTTATTTTATTAGAATAGACCATTTCCATTTTCTAAGGTTAGGGATTTCGGGTTGTTGTTATTGGATTTTTCTATGGGAATATTGGTGTATGGGGTTGAGTATGTTGTTATTCTATGTGGTGGTGTATGGGTCTTCTATTGGTTCCATCTTGTGGGTATCGGGTATAGGTTGTTATGGTTTGGGTCTTTGGGTGAGTTATTCCTGGGGTTCTATCTATGGGTCTTGGATGGGTTAGGGTTGAGGCATAGGTTGTTATGGTTTTGGGTCTTTGGGTGGGTCTTTCCTAGGGTTTTACCTATGGGTCTTGGGTGAGTTGAAGGTTGAGGTATAGGTTGTTATGGTTTTGGGTCTTCGGGTGGCCTAGGGGGGTGGGCATGGTTAGAAAATGGAAATGGTCACTACTAACTCTGGAACCCCCCTCCCTTAAGAACCCCGGAAGTATTTGCCTCGGTCTTCCCTCCCAGCTTTGTCTCCAGGAAGCGCCGGGTGTTGACCAGGATGCCTTGGAGTTGGCCAAGAGTCAGGCTTGCTGGGCCTAGGGTTTAGGGTTTAGGGTTTAGGGTTTAGGGTTTAGGGTTTAGGGTTTAGGGTTTAGGGTTTAGGGTTTAGGGTTTAGGGTTTAGGGTTTAGGGTTCAGGGTTCAGGGTTCAGGGTTCAGGGTTCAGGGTTCAGGGTTCAGGGTTCAACCAATTATAACTGTACTCATACCTGTACTTTTTGCCATAATCGGGCACTTAGGGGGCTTATGAGTGGGCTGGAATTGCTTGATAAGTACCATGAACCTCCAAGTAGGGTTCCGTTAGAGTTCCACTAGGGGCTTCGGGATTTGGGGTATTCCTAAACCTTAAGCTCTGTGTCAGAGCCCTACCCTGCCTCTTTGCGACCCGAACTACGGCGAACAACAATCTAAGGCTCCCCCACAAAAACTCAAGAAGACACTAAACCCTAAACTCCAAACCCCTAACCCTCAACCCCAAAACCCCAAAACCCTAAACCCTAAACCCTAAACCCTAAACCCTAAACCCTAAACCCCAAACCCCAAACTCTCAATCTTCAACCAGGCCATGGCCCTTCCACACACCTCCGCAGCTCAAAAAGAGGCGGGAGTGCGGACGGCTTTCCTCATCCTAGGCTTTAGGATTTAGGGTTTAGGGTTTAAGGTTTAGGGTTTAGGGTTTAGGGTTTGTAGGCCTCATGGGTTGAGGCCTCGCTCAGGGTTTAGGGTTCAGGGTGTGGGGTTTAGGGCTTCGGGTTTAGGCTTTAGGGTTTGGGATGTGGGGGTTAAAGTTTTGGGGTGTGCGCGGCGTGATGCTGGATTCAGATGCGAAGT